GGGTGGCTCATGCCTGTCCATCCCAGCACTCTGGGAGGGCCTGAGACGCGGAGGACGCTCAAGCGGTCAGGGAGTTCGAGACCAGGCCTGAGCAAGAGTGAGACCCCGTCTTATTAAAAAAAACAGAAAGAAATTAATTGACCAATAATAGCTATTAGAAAAATTAGCCGGGCATGTGCTCGACGCCTTGGGTAGCTCCCAGCTACTCACTCAGGGAGGGCTGGAGCAGGAGATCGGCTTGAGCCCAGGATCTGGAGGTTGCTGTAGAGGCTAGGGCTGACGCCACGGCACTCACTCGTAGCCTGGGCAACGAGGCGAGACTCTGTCTCACACACAAAAAAAATTATTGATTATTATTATTCAGTTTAGGTTTAAACCGTATTTTAGCTCTGTGGGCGGTTCGGAGAGGCTGGCGACCCCATGGGCCTGCGTGAAAGCCGGGGGGGGTGAGGACAGCGGAGGCCGCGGACAGCAGCGGTGCCGGCGGTCTCACGCCGCACGCGCCGGCCTCTGCCAACCTCGCAGGGCGGCGCGCCTTCCTGCGCCCCGTGGCGTTCCTCGCTCTCGAGCTTTTCTCAGTCTCCTGGGAGAACTCTTCCGGAAGGAAACCTGCCTTCTTATCCCTGTTGCTCTTAACTTCTTGTAAGACGGGAGGTCTATATTTGCCCTGGCTGCGTCTCAGGCTCTGCGCCTCGAGATCTCGCTGCCCGGGCCTCCCAGATGGCTGGGCACAAGGCTGCCCAAGCCCTGCCTTTCCTGTATTAGCCCTGCGAGCGCCTCAGGAGTTTGCTGAGTGAGCCCAAACACCGTTCCCCTCCCGAACTCTTCCGTGTTGCTTTCCCTTTGAGAAAAGTGTGCATTTCAGATTACAGCTGCTGGCTGCGTCAGCCTCACAATAAGGGTGCTTCCTCGGCCTTGCGCCTCCAGGGCTGGGTGAACAGCCTCACCTGCGCCCCTCACCTTGTGCCCTCCCCTGTGATCCTCCTGTGCCCCCTCCTCTGTGCCCCCCTCACCTGCGCCCCCTCCCCTGTGATCCCTCTGTGTCCCCTCCTGTGCCCCTTCCTGTGATCCCCCCTTGCGCCTCCCGCTCCTCACCTATGCCCTCCTGCTTCCCTCACTGTGCCCATCTCGTGCTCCTCACCTGTGCTCCCTCACCTGTGCTCCCACCTTGCTTACCTGTGACCCTCCCTGTGTCCCCTTACTGTGCCCTCACCTGTGCCCATCCCCTGTTCCCCTCACCTGTGCCATCCCGTGTCCCCTTCACCTGTGCCCCATCCCGTGTTCCCCTCACCTGTATCCTCCCCTGTGCCCCCTTACCTGTGGATCCTCCCCTTCTCCCTTTACCTTGCCCTCACCTGTGCCCCATCCGTTTCCTCCCTGTGCCCACCCGTGTTCCCCTCACCTGTGCCCCATCCCGTGTTCCCCCACCTGTTCCCTCCCTGTGCCCCTACTAGTGATCCTCCTGGCTCCCTTACCTATGATCCTCCCTGTGCCTTACCTATGATTCCCTCCCCTGTGCCCGGTACCTGTGATCCCTCCCCTGCCCCCTTACCTGTGATCCCTCCCCTGTGCTCCCCTTACCTGTGCCCCTCACCTGTGCCCATCCCGTGTTCCCCTCACCTGTGCCCCATCCGTTTCCCTCACCTGTGCCCGTCCCGTTTCCCCTCACCTGTGATCCCCTGTGCCCCTTACCTGTGATCCCTCCCCTGTGCTCCCCCTTACCTATGATCCCTCCCCTGTGCCCCCTTAACCTATGATCCTCCCCTGTGCCCCCTTACCTATGATCCCTCCCCTGTGCCCATTACCTTGTGATCCCTCCCCTGTGCCCCCTACCTGGATCCCTCCTGTGCCCCTTACCTGTGATCCTTCCCTGTGCCCTTAACTGTGATCCTCCCCGTGGGCCCCTTACCTGTGATCCCTCCCCTGTGCCCTTTACCTTTTGATCCCTCCCTGTGCCCTTACCTGTGATCCCCTCCCCTGTGCCCCCTTACCTGTGATCCCTCCCCTGTGCCCTTACCTGTGATCCTCCCCTGTGCCCCCTTACCTGTGATCCTCCCCTTGCCCCCTTACCTGTGATCCCTTCCCTGTGCCCCCTACTGCCCCCCCTGTGCCCTCCTGTGATTCCTCCCTGTGCCCCCTACCTATGATCCCTCCCCTGTGCCCTTATATGCTATGATCCTCCCCTGTGCCCTACCTGTGATCCTCCCTGTTGCTCCCTTACCTGTGATCCCTCCCTGTGCCCCCTCCCTGTGCCCATCCCGTGTTCCCCTCACCTGTGCCCCCATCGTGTTCTCGCCTGTGCCCCCTACCCGTGTCCCCTCCCCTGTGCCCCCCGTGCCCCCTCCTGTGCCCCCTCACCTGTGGCTGACGGTGTCTCCAGGCCGGGGTCGCCCTCCCCTGAAGCAGGCCGCTGGTAGTTAGCCGGGTTCTTGGTCCATCTGGGCCTGGCCCGGCTCAGTGCCATCCCAACCCGCGCGGTGTCCAGCGACCCCTTGCGCACGTAGCGTCACTGACGGAGGACAGAGTTCGTGACCGCCAGCCCACGCTCCTGCCCTTCCTCTGCATTTCACACACGGACCCAAACCTCGGGCATCCCCCAAAGCTGGCACACGCCCTGAGACTCTGCTTACCCAGAATCAGAGCACAGACCAGGCGGGAACCATCCGCGGCTTCCAACCCCCCACCCACCCACCACCCCACCCACCCCACCCACCCCCCACCCCGCTGAGGACAGGGCGGTGCGGTCACGCCTGGGCCCAGCGCGCCACACGGTAGCGCTGCTCCCCACACGGGAGCGGCAGCCTCCGGGTCCCGCCCTGGCGGAGCGCAGAGGAGGAGCAGGGTCCGGGGCCCAGGAGCACGGGAGAGGACGACGGGACGGGCTGAGGCGCCCGCCTGACCACAGCGGTGGAGAAAGGCCTGCGGGCAGGAGGCTCTGGAAAGTTCCGTGCAGCAACACAGGGCAGGAGGACGACCGGCAAGGCACCATGGCACAAGAGACCCAAGTCCAGGGACGCGGTGCACCGCCTACTAGCCTCCGAGTAGCTGGGACCACAGGCATGCACCACCCATGCCCGGCTGTTTTTCTATATATATTAGTGGCCATTAATTCTTTCTATTTATAGTAAGACGGGTCTTGCTCTTGCTTCAGGTGGTTTCGAATCCTGACCCTCGGCAATCCGCCCGCTCGGCTCCAGAGTCTAGATTACAGGTGAGCACCGCCCCGCGCGAAAGTTATTTTCTAACGACCACAGACAGACATGGAACAGAACCAAAAAACCGACCCTGGAGCGCGCTCCCTCAGTCCGACAGGAGCAACTACCTGAAGCAGGACGAAGGCTTTGTGCATCTGATCCGTTGGCCACGTCAGGCCGGGGTGCCCGTGTGCCCTGAATGACCGTGACCTGTAACGGCTCGTTTCCAAATGCAAACCTCTTAAAGCTTTGGGGGTTTCCTTTGAGGATGATATAGCAAATACATATTTTAAAGAAACCACACGTTAGGGGGAAAAGCACCTGCCATGAGCGAAATCTATAAGCTGCCATCACAAGAAAATGTGTGAGGCACAGGCTGTATTTATGTAGGTGGATCGTACCGTATGATTATGAAAATCAACAATGACCTTACAGGACACAGTCAAAAAGCACACAGAAGGGGCCCGGTGGGTCACGCTGTAAATCCCAGCACTTGGGAGCCGAGGCGGGCGGATCGTTTGAGCTCAGGAGTTCGAAACCAGCCTGAGGCAAGAGGGAGACCCCGTCTTCTACTATAAACAGAAGAAATTAATTGGCAACTATAATATAGCAAAAAATTAGCCGGGCATGGTGGCACATGCTGTAGTCCCAGCTACTCGGGGGCTGAGGCAGCAGAATTGCTGAACCCAGGAGGTTTGAAGGTTGCTGTGAGCTAGGCTGACTCCATGGCACTCACTCTAGCCTGGGCAACAACCGAGATTCTGTCTTAAAAAAAACAAAAAACAGAAAGAAATTAGCTGGACAACTAAAAAAATATAAGAAAAAATTACTGGCCATGGTGGTGCCATGCCTGTTACCCAGCTACTCAGGAGGCGGGGCAGGAGGATCGCTTAGAGCCCAGGAGGTTGAGGTTGCTGTGAGCTAGGCTGACGCCACGGCACTCTGGCCCGGGCAACAGAGTGAGACTCTGTCTCAAATGAAAAAAAATAAAATAAACCAAAAGGGAAAAATAAAGGTAGCCATCCCGCTGGAAACATGTCAACATACAGGTGACACGGGATAGGACAGGTGTGATGCTCTCGTGGGATGCACAAAGGATCTCAGCTCCAGGGACCCGGAAGGCCAACAACTACCAGCCTTGGAGGTCCTTCTTGGCTCCATGATTTTATGAAGCATCAGTTTCCCCGGGCTCAGGGAAGTGGAGTGGAGCCTCCACACAGCGGAGCCTCCGGGACAGTAGGCTGTGACCACCTCTTAAGTCCCCAGGTGGGTCAGCAAGTCCGGGGAGACCCCTGCACCCGGCCCTCTCCCACACAGCTCGCAGCCCCCCAGGCATTTTGGGGCACCTGGGCCCCATCCACTAACCTCTCTGAGAACAAACGTTGACCTTGCACCCCTGGCTTAGGAGGCCTCTGGGGCCTGGCCACAGCCCCACCCACCTCTAGCCCTTCCTGCCCTCCCCACCACGTCCCTAATACTACCCGGGTCCCCCAGCTCAGCCAGCATCACTGCCCCCTCCTTCAGGAAGCCCCAGATCCCACTGTGCTCCGACGACCAACCCCCCCCCCCCCCCACAGGTACCCACTCCGTCTCTGCCTGGTGCCCTGGGCAGCTCTGCAGCCAGATGGCCACCCATGAGACCTGGAAGCAGTCAGGCTGCCCAAGCGCATTCCAGGCACCAAGGGTGTATGCAGCAGGGTGAGAAACAAAACCCCCCCGCAGGCAGGGAGGCAGGGAGGGGGTCTTTGCTTCCAGCAGGAGAGCAGAGATAAGTGAGATCTGTGTGGCCCACACACAGGTGAGGAGAGCAAGGTGCAGGATGGTGGTGGCAGGTGTGGGGGGGTTCCAGGCATGGATGCCCCACAGCGGCCTTGCCGGGTCTCGGAAGAGCCCAGGGAAGGGGTCCCCCACCAGTCGCCGGCCCAGTGCAGGCGGGCGGGGTGCTGTGGGGCAGGAGGAAGCCTGCAGGGCGTAGGAGTGGGGAGCACGGTGGAGGACCCACTCCCAAGGACCCTTGGGGACGAGTTTCTCCCATCTATTTAAGGAGTAAGAAAGCCTTCTTCTCAGCCTCCAGACGTGCTCCCCTGCTGGAAACAACCATCCTTATGCCTCCGACAGGCAGGCTGGTCTCAGAGGGGAATGGCGGCTCTTCCCTCACCCACCCAGGCCCAGGGCACACCTTCCCCTGGGAGCTGTCACCGCCCTGACTGGGCCTCGCCCCCCCTGGCCCCCCCATGCTCCCCTGCACCCCCAGCGCTCCCCTGGCCCCCCATGCTCCCCTGCACCCCCAGCGCTCCCCTGGGCCCCCCATGCTCCCCTGGGTCCCCCCCCCGCGCTCCCCTGCACCCCCAGCGCTCCCCTGGGTCCCCCCCGCGCTCCCCTGGGTCCCCCCCCCCCGCCGCGCTCCCCTGGGCACCCCCGGAGGCCCCGCTGGACCTTGGACTCTGCGCCCGGCCCGAGGGTGGGGCGCGCGGTGCGCAGCCGGTGCAGGCCAAACCGGACTCACCTGTCGGGCTTTTCTGGACGCGCCCGCTTCCCTTCAGAAGTTTGGACCATTTTATTGCTCTTCTAGTGAGTATCACCAGGTAGGTGGAAAAAAACTCCTCGTACGCCGCGTAGTCAAAGTCTCCAGGCCTCTCAAATCCGTAGGGATCAACCCTGCGACAGAGAAGAACCCGCGTTTCCAAATAAAGTTTCCGTGCGCGTGTCCGCCCGGGCTCGGGGAGTCAGGGTCCGCGGGCGGACCGCGGGGAGGACGTCTGCCTGCGCGGGACCCTTGGCCCACTCTGGCTGGACCCCGCGCCGCCCACCTCGGTTCCGGGACCCTGAACCTCGCGCCGCCCACCTGGGGACCCGGGACCCGCGACCCGACTCCACGTCGCCCTTCTGGGGACCCGGGACCCAGCACCCCGCGCCGCCCACCTGGGGACCCGGGACCCCGCGCCGCCCACCTGGGGACCCGGGACCCAGAACCCCGGGCCGCCCACCTGAGGACCCGGGACCCAGAACCCCGCGCCGCCCACCTGGGGACCCGGGACCCAGGACCCCGGGCCGCCCACCTGGGGACCCGAGACCCAGGACCCCGCGCCGCCCACCTGGGGACCCGGGACCCAGGACCCCGGGCCGCCCACCTGGGGACCCGGGACCCAGGACCCCGCGCCGCCCACCTGGGGACCCGGGACCCAGGACCCCGCGCCGCCCACCTGGGGACCCGGGACCCAGGACCCCGCGCCGCCCATCTGGGGACCTGGGACCCAGAACCCCGCGCCGCCCACCTGGGGACCCGGGCCCCTGAACCCCGCGCCGCCCACCTGGGGACCCCGCTTCACTATAGAAAAAATAGAAAAAATTAACTGACCAACCCAGACTATATAAAAAAAATCTCCGATGGCCGCTCGGCAGCATGCCTGTATCCCAGCTACTCAGGAGGCTGAGGCAGTGAGGATCCGCTCGAGCCCCAGGCAGATTGAGGTTGTTTGTGATGCTAGCGCCATGCACGGCATA